CTCCAAATAAATTTGGCTTATTGATTAAGGCATCTTCTGATTTACAATATAACAATTCGATTCCCAGTCAAGGCAAAGCCCGGGTTGTGGGCTTGATCCCTAGTAGGGGGCATGCAGGAGGCAGCCAATCAATGATTCTCTTTCATCACTGATGTTTCTCTGTCTCCCTCTCTGAAATCAATAAAAATATATTTTAACGAAACGAAACAAAACCCTGAGGATGGCAGAACCTGTTTAGAGGAAGTGTAAGAGGATGCACAAGAGGATGGGGACAGGCCTTAATCTTCAGCCAACGAGGGGAGGGTGTATGGGGAGGACAGGGGTGTAGCCAGATGACAGGGGGTGTCAGTTAAGGCAAGGAAGTAAGAGGATGGCTGTGCATACAGAAATTGTTAACTATGTTGTAATGGAAAGGCAAAGGTAGGAGGCTGGGTTAGGGTGGAAATACAGGGATAAGAGAGGGAAGATGGCTTCTGGAGTCTCCATCTTGTATGGTAACCAAGAAGAGACCACAGACAAGGAGCATGACAGATGTAGCATGTCAGAGGTTGGGCTGAACACCTCTTGTGCAGCAGCTCCTGGTGGGTGGGGAAGGTGTGGGCCCTGATAAACTACACTTTTAAGGGCGTTTTAGTTTCCTCTACACTTTCACTGCAGCCCAGTGGATCTTCTCAATGAGAAACACCAGGTTGGCCCGGCCGCTATGGCTCAGTGGTTGAGCATCTACCCAGGAACCGAGAGATCATGGTTCCATTCCCGGTCAGGGCACATCCCCAGGTGGTGGGCTCGATCCCCAGAAGGAGGTATGCAGGAGGCAGCCAATCCATGATGTTTCTTTCACCAATGTTTCTATCTATCCCTCTCCCTGAAAACCAATAAAAACATTTTAAAAATTAAGGGCTCTATTAAAACAAAACACGACACAACACACACCATCAGGTTGAATGGGGCACAAATCTAGTAGGCAATAGTCACAATCATTAACTGTTTCTCCAGCATCCACTCCAGGCTGGCTGCTCCAGCAACCCTTTGAGGTTGAAAAACTGACCAAAGCTGTCCAGGAATCCTCCATAGAGGTGGTTGTTGGGAATCAGGATCCTACCTGCCCCTTACTTTGCTTGGGGCCCCTTTGATAGGGGCTGCCTTAGAGGAATAAGATCCTCAAAAGCAAGTTCTTTAAAAAATGTAACCTTGGGCCTCTCCCAAGAAAGGTCTACAGCAGTGATTTTCAACCTTTTTTAATCTCATGGCACACATAAATTAATTAATTACCAAAATTCTGCAGCATACCAAAAAATACATTTCTGCCCATCGAACAAAAAAAATAGGTATAATTTTGATTCATTCACTCTGGATGGCTATTGTGTTGGCTGTTACCGTTTTATTTTTTAGTGATTTGAGAGAGAAAAACATTGATTGGTTGCCTTCTGCATGAGCCCCGACCAGGATTGAATTCAAAGCCTGGGTACATGCCCTGACCAGGAATTGAACCCTCCACCCTTTGGTGTATGGAAAGATTCTCCAACCAACTGAGCCACACCAGTGGGGGGTGTGCAGGAGGCAGCCAATCGATGATTCTCTCTCATCATTGATGTTCCTATCTCTTTCTCCCTCCCCATCCTCTCTGAAATTAATAAAAAAAATTCTTGTGGCACACCAGATGAAAAATCACTGGTCTGCAGACTTGGAGTCAGAAAACTAGAAACCTTTCCTGTTCTACCACTTGGTAGCGCTGTTAGCTTAGCCAAATTGCCCTGCTTCTGAGCCAGTTTGTGTGGAGACATTGCTGATCTTTAACTTTAGAGGTAAAGCCCGTTAGTGTTAAAAGCCAGTTATTACCTTCATCACAACCTGGAAAATTCTAAACTTAATCATCTGAATACAGCTGCCATTACTTTTACCAAACTTTTCATTAATCTCAAGCTCTATTTGTTTATGAAAGATCTTCATCCCTGGCTGGGTAGCTCAGTTGGTTAGCTTGCAATTCAGAGCACATATAAGAATAAACCAATACATTTATAAATAAGTACAACAATAAATAGATGTTTCTCACCCTCTCTCTAAAATCAATTATAATTTTTTTTTTTAAGAAAGGTTTTCAAGTTGGGGGGAGGAAGTTGCAGAATGTCTATTATTTATGTGAAACAGAAACAGAGATACAATTAAGCATCGTTGGGAGTAAAATGCCTGTGTAGAGAAACACAAAATACTTTACAACAGCTGCTGAGGAGGAGGGTACCTGGGGGAGGAAGATAGACTTTTCCTCTCACATCCTCTTGCTCATTTGACATTTTATATCATGTGAATAGGTTATCAGTTCAAAATTCTGTGTTAATAAAAAGCAGTAAGGTCCTGCCCGTATGGCCCAGTGATTGAGCTTCAACCCATGAACCAAGAGGTCACCAATTCGATTCCTGGTCAGGGCACATGCCCAGGTTGCAGGGTTCCATCCCCAGTGGGGGTGGGGGTGTGTGCAGGAGGAAGCAGACTGATGATTCTCATCATTCGTGTTTCTATCTCTCTATCCTTCTCCCTCTAAAATCAATAAAAAGCCTGTTTTTTAAAAAATAGGTACAGCATGCACCCATTTCTGTAATCATATCTTTACAACTTTTAAAAAAACAACCCTCAGCTCTAGCTGGTTTTGCTCAGTGGATAGAGCATTGGCTTGCGGACTGAAGGGTCCCGGGTTTCCGGCTCCATCCCCAGTTGGGGGGGGGGGGCGCTCAGGAGGCAGCCAATCAATGATTCTCTCTCATCATTGATGTATCTCTCCTTTTTCCTTTCTGAAATTAATAATTTAAAAAAACACACAAAACAAACAAACAAAAAACCCTCAGCCAAGGATATGTTTTTTTTTTATTTCCTAAAATAATGTTACTTGGGTTCTGGCTAGGAAAGAATTCAGAGCCAGACCCAAACTATACGGGAACATTTGGTAAATCACATAGGTAGAATAAGTAATTCCTAGAAGAAATGGGCTTAAGAAACAAGTTATAGAGGTTAAAGGAAGGGCCCTTGGAGCTTGGGAGTGAGGAAGCTAATGGTAACATGCCTGGGGCAGGGAGGAGAGGGAAGGGAAAAGGAAAGGGAAAGGCACACATGCTCCCAGAGGGAGAGCGCCTGAGAATATGTTTTCTTCTTTTTTGTTAAATATTTTATTGGTTTTTTACAGAGAGGAAGAGAGAGAGATAGAGTTAGAAACATCGATCAGCTGCCTCCTGCACATCCCCCACTGGGGAAGTGCCCGAAACCCAGGTACATGCCCTTGACCGGAATTGAACCTGGGACCCTTCAGTCCGCAGGCCGACACTCTATCCACTGAGCCAAACCGGTTTCGGCGACAATATGTTTTCTTGCTTTCAAAGAGAGGAGGGGGGTGAGGGGGAGAAGCATGGATATGAGAGAGAAACTTTGATGGGTTGCCTCCCAAAGGCACCCCAATCATGGATTGAACTATAAACCTAGGTATGTGCCCTGACGGGAACCGAACCTGTTACCTTCTGGTGTATGGGAGGAAGTTTCAAGCAACTGAGTAACCAGGTCAGGGCCACCCGCCCTTCTGAATAATAGCTATAATCTGGGGCATTTGTCCTGCACTAAAATTCTCCAAGTGTTTTAAAAAAAAATTTTGTTTTTTTTATTGATGTCAGAGAGGGAGAGGGAAAGAGAGATAGAAACATCAATGATGAGAGAGAATCATTGATTGGCTGCCTCCTGCATGCCCCCCACTGGGGATCAAGCCCGAAACCTGGGCATATGCCCTGGCCAGGAATCAACCGGCGACCTCTTGGTTCCTGGGTCGACGCTCAACCGCTGAGCTACACCCGGCTGGGCTGCCAAGTGCTTTTTTATTATTACTATTTCGTAGAAAAGGAAACGGGGGATCGATCAGACCTTGGTTTTACCGGGGGCCTCAAACCTAGGGCAGGCACTGGACATTGCATCGTTTACAAATTAGCTGTGCCGTCCCTCCGTTTTTGCAAGGAACACCCGCTACTAGGCTATAAGTCTTGAATTTCTCATCTCTTTCAGGAAGAAACCCTTTTCAACAACTCCTTATTCTGGACCCAGCCTCGCCTAACAACCATGCCTGTCGAGCGCCAGCCTGACCCTTACACTGGAGGGGGCAGAGCTTAGTTTAGATACAGGTTGTACATCAGGGATCTTACACGGCGCTCGGGAGGATTACCCGACAGGCTTGTAAAGAAAAGGTAGCATGTCCTCGGTCCCCAGGATCTTTCTTTATAAGACCAAACTGGTGGCCCAGCGTCTGAGTCCCAGCACCGGTTCTCCCGTGAACCCTCAAGTCTTTTTTTCCGCAGTGCCTCAGTGTCTCCATCTGTGAAAGAGAGGCGGAATGACCCGACCAGCTCAGCTCCGCACTCCGGCGGCTCGGGACACTGCCGTCTCACACTCGCACCTCGGGTCTTCTCCGCTCCTTGCGGAGATGCGGGGAGGGGGTTGGAAGCTCGGCGGGCAGGCCGCCTTTCGAGGAAACGCCTCCTCCGCAGAGATCCAGCTATTATGAGGGCGATAACGGGCCAGATTCCCAGAGGCGTTTCCGCCAACGTACACATGGCGGCGGGCTTAAGATGGTGGCCGCGCATGAGCGTCAACTCCGAGCTTCAGTGAGGACCAGCCACTCGCCCTGAATTACGTGAAAAGGCGGCTCAAAACCGTCAATAAGAGAGCGCTGACGTCGTCACATGATGTAGGCCGACCAATACGACGCAGGGAAAGCGAACAGCCCTCATCACGTGGCCAAGGAGGAGTCCGAATTTGCCACTGTCACATGACCAAGCAAAGGCGTGGAAAAGGGAGGGGGACGTTCCGACGCCACGTGACGAGCTCGCAACGTCTACGCCCTCATCACGTGACCAGAACCCACCTCCTCTCTTTTCGTCCCTCTCACTCTCTTAAGCTGGGCCTGCGTCGAACGCAACGCGGCGGCGAGGGGGCGGGGCTCCGGGTGGTCACGTGGCTCCGCACCTCCCTGGCGCGCGCCCGCCCGCTCGCCCCCGGCTCCTCCTCCTCTTCTCGCCATTGCAGTTGGACTCAGCAGCCCGGTGCGCACCGCGTGGCTTTTGCGGGGGAGATCCCGGCGGGTTGCGGCAGGCGGTCGGCGGCGGTTGCGGTCGGGGAAGGGACGCTGACAAGGTAAGCTCCAATGTGGCGGCGGTCAGGCCCGCTCCCGCCTCTGCCCCTCCCCCCCCGCCCGTCCTCCCACTCAGCGCGGGCCCGGCTGGAGAGTCGCGGTGACAAGGCCAGAGGCGCCCCTTGCTCCCCGCCTCCGCCGGGTCCCGTGTCCCGGCGCCTGGCTCATTCTGCCCTCGCCAGCCGTGCTCCCGCGTTTGGCCGTTACTCTCCCCCATTGTGCCGAGGAAACAAAATGGCGACGTCGGCGGCGAGGGCCCCGTGCGCGCGCACCCGTCCTCCCCCCTCGCGGCCCCTCGTTTGGCGGCAGCGCCTCGCGTGGGGGGTGCGCGCGCACCGGGCTCCTGGCCTCAGCCTCCCCCGGCCCGGGCTTTTGTCTGTTGCGGCGCTCCGCGTGCGCGCACGTGCTGGAAACACACACCCCCCCTCCGGCCCAGAGCATCCGGGTCCGTGGGGCAGGAGCGCCTCTCTCACCCTCATCCTCATCCCCTCCTCTCCTCCTCTTTGTCCCACTCCCGCCTCGGATTCCAGGAGGGTCCTAGGCTCCAGAGGCGGGAAACGTGGTCTTTGTCCTCACATGGCGCGGAGAGGTGGACCCCCACCACGGAACCTCTTCCATGTGCGGATTACAGAGGAGGTCTTTGTGGGATCCAAATCCCTGGCCACCCAGGCCTCCCACAGATCAGCATCCACACTTGGGGAAGGCTTTAAGATTTCCATTTCTTTAGTCCAGGTGTTTCATTGATGTTGAAATTTTTTTTTCAGATTGTTTAGGGCTTGCATCCTCCCCCAAAATGGTGATCTGGTGCGATGTTTGGGTGCACTGTAATCTGCAAGCTTGGGACCCAAACATGAGTGCTAAAAACTGTTTTCTATCTTATTTCTTCAAGTAGTAAAATGACTTGAGATTCTTAAGGTTGTTCTTGATGTTCTGCACGGGTTAATGCTCTGCCTGGATGAATTATTTGGAGTGTACTGTGATCAGCATAGTTTCCACTAGCTCAATGCCTAAACGTGGGGAGAGTAAGCCATCTCTTCTAAGTAATTTCAAATTTGATTGAAAGTTGCTTGGGGTTCTGGTTAGGGAACGTGATGGATCAGCAAGGAATCAAAAATTTCTGTGATAAGCCTCCCTTTTCTGGATTCAGGTATTTCAGATTGTGAACTTGTATTTCTGATGCTTGGTATTCTTCGGTCTTTACAGTGAGTGATCCAGGGGGAAATACAAGGTGCTGTCCGAAGTTAGAGCTCAAATGTAGGACTTTAAGCTCTCCTCAGGTGTCTGTGATGGGAAGTCTCCACGGATTACTCACAGTGCTGCCACTCTGCTTTGTATGGGATGCTTTGTGTGGGGTCATGTGGGATGTAGTGACAGCAGCCACTCATGCTGTGAATGAAGTGTGGGAACCAGAGGCTCATTCACAGCTGGAAAAGGGGGCGGGGGGGGGGGGGAGGATCTAGGGCACTGAGAGGTGCTGTTATGTAGTCCTGGGGTCTTTGCCCCCGAGCTGTAATTCTTGTCCCTGTGGTTTGCAAATGGAATCTGTGCAGGCCCTAGTGTTGTCTGTAGCTTATTGGAGGCTGGCAATTACTGCCAGGCTTGGCCTTGCCAGCACTGGACATTTGATTTATCAGAGTCTTCCCTACCCTAGGAGCTTGGGCAAGCCTTCGAATCGTCTTCTTTCTGGAGTGGAATGGTGCCTAATTGTTGGCAGTTTTGTTTTTCTTTATTTGAACTCGTTTAGTGCCTATAGGCAAAAATTTGTTTAGTTACTTCTAGTATACGTGATAATTTTATTCCTTGGAGTGAGGAATCTCTAATTTCTAAAAAAAAAAAAAATGTTTGCTATTAAAAAATCCACATTGGCAAGAGCAGCTGCTAATATTCTGATGACACATGTATGGTGCTTGTTTTTGTGCTCCCCTGGTTAAGTTCTTCAGGTAGGCACAGGTGGAGTCCATGATGAGGAAAGTCTTCTGTGAGTCTATAAGTCACTTCTCTTTGGGTAAACAGTATCTTGTCTGTCATTTTTTAAATGTTTTTATTGATTTCAGAGAGGAAGGAGAAGGGAGGGAGAGATGGGAACATCAATGATGAGAAGAATCATTGATCGGCTACCTCCTGCACGCCCCACACTGGGGATTGAGCCCACAACCCAGGCATGTGTCCTGACTAGGAATCGTACCGGTGACCTCCTGGTTCATAGGTTGACGCTCAACCACTGAGCCATGCCGGCGGACTCTTGTCTGTCTTTAGGCTTCAGCAAGATGTAGGGATTGGAAATGTTCTCACTTCTGAAAAACGCTTTAGATGTTTTCTTTAGGCTGGACATGTGCCTCTTAACCTCTCTCACCACCTTCCCAATTCTTTCTGATTTTACCTTTTACAGGTCAGAGGTTAGAGAGGAAGGAAGGGAGGAGGGGAAACAGAGAGAAGAACATTGATGTGAGAGAGACACATTGATTGGTTGCCTCCTGCACATGCCCTAACCAATCAAGATCAAGCCTGGAACGAGGTACCTGCCCTTGACCAGAATGGCATCTGCAACCTTTCAGTCCTCAAACCGATGCTCTAACCACTGAGCAGCTGGCAAGGGCTGTGCAGTGTTTTTAAAAAAGATTTTTTAATTGTTTTTGAGAGAGAGAGAGAAGCATCAGTGTGTGAGTAAAACATCCATTGGCTGCCTCCTGCACAACCACAACTAGGAATTGAGCCCGAAACCTTTCAGTGAATGGTAGGATGCCCAACCAACTGAGCCACTCCAGCCAGGGCAACCTGGTACAGTTTTGAAAGATGTGTAAATGTCACCATCTGGTATTAGCATATATGGCCCAAAAAGTGGTGACATTTTATTTCTATTTTTTTTATTGATTTCAGAGAGAAAGGGAGAGGGAGAGATGGAAACACCAGTGATGAGAGAGAATCATTGATTGGCTGCCTCCTGCACGCCCCACATTGGGGATTGAGCCCACAACCTGGGCATGTGCCCTGACTGAGAATCAAACCTATGACCTCCTGGTTCATAGGTTGACACTCAACCACTGAGCAGTGCCGGCCAGGCAAGTGGTGACATTTGAAATCACTAGAAGCCCAGTGCATGAAATTCGTGAACTTGGGTGGGTGGGGGGGTCCCTCAGCCTGGCCTGCGCCCTCTCACAATCTGGGATCCCTCGCTCCTTATGCTCAGCTTGCTGCTCCTTAGCGGCAGGCTACTTACCGCTCGGCTTACTGCTCCTTAGCCCTGCATCGGAGGTGGGAGAGATTCCCGCCACCTCTGCTGTGCTCGCCAGCCATGAGCCTGGCTTCTGGCTGAGCGGCTGCTCCCCCTAGTGGTCAGTGCGCATCATAACGATCGGTCGTTCTGTTGTAACAGCAGCTTAGGCTTTTATTATATAGATAAATGCTTTAAACTTTCTCAGAAATTAAGATTTTTCTAGGCTTTCTGAATTGGGTGTTTTTTATTTTAGCAGAGTCCTGGGAAAGGAAGATCTTATTTTTGTTTCCAGGGGAAGGGTTTGGAATTTGAGACAGATGGTGGATTGATAGGAGTCTACACACAGGTTGTCAGTGAAGTGTGTCTGGGTCCTGAAGGGATGAGGCTGACTTCAGTTTTCTGCTGCAGCATTTGACAATTTCACCTGAAACAACTAGCTTTCCTCTCTGCTTTGTTAGGGTAAGTTGGCGCTGCCTCTTCGAAGTGTTAGCTGTGTGGGCAGGTATTTGTTAGGGAGCCTTGTCAGTGTACTGATTTTTCAAACTTGCTTCTCACCATATTTATGCTCTGTTAAACCCCTGTGAGGTTTTCCCAAGACAGCACTTTGTATAGGAAGTTCAGACATTTTTTATTGGTTGCTTCCCAAACTCATCCCATAGAACCTGAAACGTAGGTATGTGCCCTGATTGGGAATCAAACCCAACCTTTTGATGTATAGGACCTCACTCCAATCTACTGAGCCACCTGGCCGTTGCCAGACATATTTTCAATACCTGCTTTTTTTCAAATGTTTTAAGAAAGCAGTGTCCAGTTGAAATTTTTTCCTCTTCTCATTGAAAATGTAGCCACCAGTTTTAACAGGAAAATGAGTTTACTATGGGCCTTTTTTTTTTTTTTTAATTTGTGGGAGCCATATACTATCACCAATGATCGTTTAGTCCAGTGATTCCCAAAGTGGGCGCTACCGCCCCCCGGTGGGCGCTGCAGCGATCCAGGGGGGCGGTGATGGCCACAGGTGCATTTGGGGGCGATGAGTTACTGCTATTAAAATTTAAAAAAAATTAATTTCCAGGGGCTGAGTAATATTTTTTCTGGGAAGGGGGCGGTAGGCCAAATAAGTTTGGGAACCACTGGTTTAGTCAAAAGTTGAATATATTCCCTGGCCGATCTGGCTCAGTTGATTGGAGCTTCTGGTGCACTGAAGGGTCTTTAGTTCAATTCCTGCTCAGTGCATATACCCAAGTTTCAGATTCGATCACCAATTGGGGTGCCTACTGGAGGCAACTGATCCATGTTTCTCTGTTGTTCATCTCCTTCTCTCTCTCCCTCCACCCCTCTTCCTCTCCCTCTAAAATCAGTAAAAATATATTCTCACCCAGCTGGTGTGGCTCAGTGATTGAGTGTCAACCCATGAACCAGGAGGACAGGGTTCGATTCCAGAGCAGGGCACATGCCTGGGTTGCAGGCTCAATCCCCCATGGGAAGCGTGCAAGAGGCAGTCTCTCTTATCATTGGTGTTTCTATCTATCTCTCTCTTCCTTTCTGAAATCAATAAAACATATATTTTTAAAAAACAACACAAATACATCCTCATGGGAGGATTTAAAAAAAAAGTTAACCTGCATCCTTTTATTAGAATATGTAAATTGGCTCCATCTTATTTTTTTTATTTTTTTAAATATATATTTTATTGATTTTTTACAGAGAGGAAGAGAGACAGAGAGCTAGAAACATCGATGAGAGAAACATCGATCAGCTGCCTCCTGCACACCCCCCACCGGGAATGTG